AGCAGTAGATCCACAGGCGGTCGGCGCGGCTGAGGAACACAAAATACAAATCCGCCCCGGCTGCCGAAAAGAAGGTTTCTACCAAAGGCAAAGGGAGAAGACACATTTTCAAGTTAAAGAACGTAAGCGGGCCCTGCCTGGTGTCTTGTCAAATCCGCCCCGGCTGCCGAAAAGAAGGTTTCTACCAAAGGCAAAGGGAGAAGACACATTTTCAAGTTAAAGAACGTAAGCGGGCCCTGCCTGGTGTCTTGTGTGTGTTCTAGTTATGCTGGCGAAGGCCACTTGTGTCGGTAGAACAGACTTCACTTGAAGGGCTTCCCTAGACTTGCCAGAGGATCCTCACTACTGATCTTCTGGGGCCGTATTTAGTGGGTCTGGTAAAGGCCCAATAAATCCAACACTGAGGGTGCCCTCCTTGACGCCGCACAAAGTAAGGGAAGGCCACAGGAGAGTTTCTCCATCAGCCTCCAACTGTGGGGCTGCCCCTGAAAATTGACGTCAGGCACCTTGACTCTAGCTACTCAGTTTTCGTAGTTGGAATTACGTATCTTGCATCAATTTTCTCCAGCGGTGTAGACCTGGCCTAAAGTTGTGACTGAGACTACATCTACATTACAGCAGTAGACCCTGGTACTCTACCGTTGAGAGAAGAGTAAGAGAAATCAAATTGAGGGGAGAGGTTTCTCCAGTCAACCCCACACAGTGTAGACCTTGCAGTAACTCACCCTAAAGTAGGTTAACTCTAGGGATGTTACATTTCGATTAATTGACTAATCAAATAGTTGATGTAACTATTCGATTAGGACACTACCACCTTTGATTTGTAGAAACAGCCCCCAGGCTGTTGGTACACTTCAAAGGGAAAAGTGCTGCGGGGAGTACGGGGCCAGTGGGGGACAGAAAATTGAAAGAACGGAGGGATTTTTCCGACAACGGAAGAAGCCTTTTTCCAAAGCTTTTTTGGAAGAAGGTGTGTGTGGATGCATAAGAGGGAGTTCTTTCGAAAGAAGAGGCCTCCAAGAAATAACACAGGTGCCCTGGTGGGCACTCTGTCCATACTAATTACCGGAGCTCGCCGAACTGCGGCATGCCCCGCTCGCCAGCCGCGCTGTCCAGCGATCTGCGCATGTGCGGATCGCCTGAACCTGGCTCTTCCAGGTTACAATCTACTCACCACTGGCGAATAGATTGAATTATTTGTCGAGCCCTGCTAATTACAACTTAAATGCAGGAAAGCGTCCAATAAATGTGGACACTATCTTTCGAAAAAGCACATTGCTTTTTTGTTGCGCTCTTGCTGTGTGGATGCTCTCTTTCTAAATAAGATTTACATGGAAGATCTCATTTGGAAAAACTTCTTCCGAAAGAAGCATGTGGTCTAGACAGCCCTAAAGCAGCAGTACTGCGGGAAGCCCAGGGCCACTCCCCCACTGACCCTGGACTCTGTGCAGTGCTGCCGCTTTGAAATGCTGCAGGGAGCCCAGAGTCAGCTCCCCGTAGCATTTCAAAGCGGCAGCGCTACGTGGAGCCTGGGAATTTTAATCCACCCTGATTTCTGAGGACTTGCATTTGCCCTCCTTGTTATTTCTTTTACATCTCCATTTGTGCAGTCACGTTAGTCAGGATAGGATATGGTTGAAGTGTCAGGTACCCAGATTTGGATTGTCTCTACCCCTGAGCAGCGTGAACAAATCTCACATATCTGTATAAGGGGTTGTTCTGCCGCCTCCTCTGAACTGAATTCTCAAGCGTCCTACACATTCTCCTCCTCTTCCCTACTTTCATGTTTAACATTGAGACTGGTGGTACAAGTTTATAACCAGTCTTATCTCAAAAAACGAGGTTTTAAAGAGAAATAACTTCAGTGGTGTCACTGCAATTTTTAATGTAAATATTTAGAAAACTTACTTCTTGTCCTTTCTTTTTTTATGTGAAAATTCTGTTGTAGTATCTCAGATTTGCTATAATTTTCTTTCCTATTTTTGTAGACAGCAGTGATATTTTTCTTATGAATTTTTTTCCACAAAAAATTCCTCCTTTTTTAATGTTGTTTCTTTAGCCCATCAAGGCTCCTGAGTCTGTATCGACAATAATTACAGCAGAATCCATCTTTCATAAGGTATGTATTGTTTATATAGAAAAGAAGATGCTGCTATTCCTCCAAGACACTCAAAAATTATCACAGACAGAAGGGACTTTATTTACAAAAAATATTTCTTCCTGTCACAAACAGGAATCCCAAACATCACTGTGTTGTATAGTATTGTTACATTGCTGCTCCTAATAATAGAAAATTGTTGACTTCAGAAGATTTAATCTTTATCTTTAGAAGTTACGCTTTAAATTGTGTAATTCTTATAAAGGGAACCTGTTTTTTACTGAAAACATTTAAAAAAACACACTTGTTAATTTATGAAAGTGTCAGCTTTCACTATTTTTTGGGGGAACCAAAAAGTTAATATTTATTTTCAGCAGTAGTTCAAATTTAGTGTGATGGGTCCTATTTTAAATAGAGGAAATATCCCAAGTATAAGAGGTTCTCTTTGTGAAGTTCTGGCTTCAAGAAATGTTGTTGCAGTCCATGGGAACACTATAGAAGTTTGAAAAAAAAAATAAGCCAAACTTAAAAAGCAAGAAATGTTCTGAGGAACCAAAATACTGATGTGTCTATCACCTCTGTGAAAATAAATGTATATTCCAGTGTTTCTTAAACTTTTTAAGACAGAAGAATACCAAACAATATTTTTTTTTAATGAGGAACACCAAGGACTTTTTGTTGAGGGGGAGCGGGGGGGATCGCAGGCGGTCCCTTTAAGGGTGGCCATTTTTAACTCTGTTCTCCATGGCACACCTCCAACTTTCTCATGGCACACCGCTGTGCCACGGAACACAGTTTAAGAAACACTGGTATATTTTCACTTACGCTTTTTTAATAGGATGTTTGCGGCATTCAGTCTGTAGCAGTGTCTATAGCTGGGAAAGGGCTCAAAAATTACATGGTGGTTTTTTTTTTAAAGTGAGATGGTTCATCTTTTTTCCCCCAAGGGGAAAAATCAAAACAGAAGTAAATAATTTATCTCAAAGACTTCTGGCTCTAGAATGACATGTAGCTCCCGAGACAGCATATAGACTGGCTCTTGTGATGCTCTGAAGACCTGTGCTTGGTACCCTGGTGTCAGTGAGGCAGTGATTCTACTTCTGCAGAATAGAAACTAACTCAGGCCATGGGAGAGTAGTTGGTTTTGCACAGACCATACTAAGGGAGAAGAATTATTCTATTTTACAGCAGCCCTTTCCCTTTGATTGGAAAGGCTGATTTGTTGGAGCGCTTGGGAAAAGACTGCAGCTTCTCAGGACTGGAGATGAGATCTAAACATTGTGCTTATAAATAAATGGTGTTAGAGAGGGATAATTTGGTATTTAAAGCATCCTTGAAGAGAGCTGAAGAAAGTTCCAGGTAGTTGCTAGTATAGTCAGGTTTTTAAGGAAGTAATTATCTGTATCTTTTCCAGGGAGTGTACTATCAAATTGGAGATGTTGTTTCAGTGGTTGATGAGCATGATGGAAAAACATACTATGCTCAGATTAGGGGGTTTATTCAGGACCAATACTGTGAAAAGAGTGCTGCTTTAACATGGCTCATTCCTACTGTAGCCAGTCCTAAAGACTGTTTTGACCCTGCATCCTATATCATAGGTAAGTGCCAAGACTACTTATAACTTGTATACTTGGCTACACTTGTACAAAAACATCTTATATAGACTGCACCTATCTGTGGTGTAATTTGTAGAATGCTTTATTGTTCTCTGGCCATTTATGTAGTTTTAGGCCTGGATCCTGTAAATCCTCAAGGCACAGATAAAACGGAGTAGTCCTATTTGGGTTGAGTAGGTTTACTTACATACATGAAAATAATCATAGGCATAATTGGAGCCTGCCCAGATATAGATTTCTGTTTGCTGATGTAGATATCCATAGATAGAAATCTGTATCTGCGGGGCTGTACTCCCAAGAACCACAGCAGCTAAATGAGAAAAATGTGGTGCTGTTGTTCCTAGTAGCCAGTGCCTTGCGCTGTCAGCTCCTTCCAGCTATGTGGCTGTATCTCCCCAAACTGGGTCTCCGGTCTGCAATGACACAGTCCTGCTGGAGACAATACAGCCATATGGCTTGGAGGAACTGCGAGAATGGGGCGCTGGATCCTGGGAGCAGCAGCACCACCTTGTTTAACTGCTGCTGTTCTCCACAGAAGAGTCCTGCAGATCAGCAGATACCCATTTATAGCTGCATAAGCAGATACAAATTTGTATCTATGCAGGGCTCTAGGTGTAATTGTTGTGGGCTTGGGGACTTAATTATCTGAGTCTAGCCTGGGAGTCTAGTCATGGCTGGAAAAAGTAAGTAACTTACCCTACAGGCCTAGAGTCTCCCCTTGGTTTACAAAAGACTCAAATTAGGTGAAACTCACTTTGGGTGTACGGAGGGATTGGTATGGAGGGGAGCCCTGTGTGACAGTTCCTATTACAAACATCAAATATGAATATATTTGAGAGAAAAAAATGAGCTGGATATGCACTTCAAGCATAGACAGCAGCTAAATTCACTACATAAGTTTTTTTTTCAACTCTACTCATAACTAACTAGTGGAAGACTGCTTCAACGCTCGTGTACACAGAACGGAACACATTTAAAAAGGCTTTTACCATATTGCAGGTTTTTAATTGAAAAAGAAGTGCTCTCAAACCGTGGCTGCTGTCCGTGTTATGTTCATTTGATATATAATGTGTAAAGCTGAAAGTGTTACCGGTACTTTGTGTTTTAGGACCAGAAGAAGATCTTCCAAGGAAAATGGAATACTTAGAATTTGTTTGTCATGCACCTTCAGAATATTTCAAATCTCGATCATCTCCCTTCCCTACTGTTCCTACTAGACCCGAAAAAGGCTATATCTGGACTCATGTTGGACCTACTCCTGCAATCTCCATCAAGGAAACTGTTACCAACAATTTATAGTCCTTAAGTACTCTTTAAGCATATGCTGGCTGTATTCTGAGCCTCTATCATCTATTACAAGAAGTTTTTTATTTCTATAAACTGGTTGACCACATGTATTATGGTGGTGGTTATTTTTTTTAATTATCTGACTTGGAAAGAAATGTATATTTAATGCTTCCATTCCCCTTTTTTGCTCCAATTAAAGCCACTTTTTTGCCACCATTGCTCAAATATGAGGAACTACAAGTATAGTATTTTCCTTGCTACTATCATGAGTTAGTGATTTATTTCAGTTGACTGGCCCTATAATCTTCTAAACTTGCCACTGTCTCTTACAAAGGAAGACTAGCACTATGTGCAGTATTTTCAAGTGCCATCACTACATGCACAACATACAGCTAAGGTATGCATTTTAGTCTTTGATGTGGCTATGCTACACACACTTTTATTCATGTTTTTAATGAAATCATATCAAGTGTACTGAGCTGAATTTTTAAAATGGATTCAGTTATTGAGTTTCTTTAAAACTGCATAGGGGAGAGAGAGAGACTGATTCAAGAACTAGCATTCTGTGGTTTTTGCGACTGTCACTTTCCCTGCTGAGCAGAGCAACATTACATAGTGCAGACAACTTTGAGCCTTGACTTAGGCAAGCGTTGACACCCCTTGTGTGTTTGCTAAATCAGGCCCTTGGGTTGGTTTTAAATTCTTTGCTGAATTTTAGTAGGTTACTCATTGAAGGTAGTTCATAAGGAACAAAAAGGTAAGTTCTAAAATACAGACTTCTGATAAACAGTTTAATTATGTTAAACTAACTCGATCAATTCCAAACCAGTTACCAAAGAAATAGAAAGCATTTACACATCAAGATAAACAGTTGAGCATCAATAAATCTTATTTTGTACATAAATATTTAAAAGTCTTTACCAGCAGCTTAGATTCTGAAAAGTACTGATTTTTGTATATTTATTCCATTGAACAGTAAATACATTTAATAAATTCATAGCAGTGTTTTTACCCACTTACTGTATTTTAGCGAATATAACCTGCGGGTTATGTTCGTTTTTACAAACCCTGCGCGCGCGCGCGCACACACACACACACACACCCACCCTGCAGGGTATACTCAGGTGCGGGGTATGCAAAAAAAATTTTATTCACCTGGTGGTGAGCGGCATGCTCGCCCGCCCCTTTCCCCGCTGCGCAGCCACCAGCCTCCGGACGGGGAAGTGTTCATCTCCCAGTTCCTGCCCAGGAGCACGCCCTCCTACCCCTTTCTGCGGCTGCACAGCCTCCAGGCGGGGAAGTGTTCATCCCCTGGTTCCTGCGCAGGAGCACTCCCCCTGCCCTTTTCTGCAGCTGCGCAGGAACCGGGAAATGAGCACTCCCCTGCTCGGAGGCTAGGGGCTGCGCAGCCGCAGGGCGGGGGGCGCGCTACTGCACAGGCACTGGGGGATGAGCGCTTCCCCATCTGGAGGCTGGCAGCTGCGCAGCTACAGACGGGTGGGGAGCACTCATTCCCCTGCCTGGAGGTTGTGCAGCCACGTGGGAACCAGGCGGGGTGAGTGAGCCTCCATCTGGAGGGTGGCTAATTCACCCTCTCCCCCACCCGTAGAAGCCCCCCGCACAGTTTGAAAAAAAGTCTTGTATACCCTGCGGGTTATACTCGTGTGCAGGGTATACAAAATTTTTTTTACTCAAACTGCAAAAACCGTGGGGTATATTCGGGTGCGGGTTATATTCGCTAAAAGACGGTAAGTACTTTACAATCTGCTTAAAGCATGGAGAAAAATATTAGGCAGTTCAGAGATTGCAGATCCCTCATGCTTTTTTTATATATATATATATATATATATAATATAATTGCACTCAAAACCCCATGGGTGCGTCTAGACTGGCAAGATTTTGCGCAAAAGCAGTTGCTTTTGTGCAAAAACTTGCCAGCTGTCTACACTAGCCGCTTGAATTTGCGCAAGAGCACTGACTTTGTAATGTACAAAACCAGTGCTTCTTGCGCAAATACTTTCCCACTCCTGCTTGGGAAAAAGCCCTCTTGCGCAAGAATACTTGCTTAAGAGGGCCAGTGTAGACAGGGAAGAACTGTTTTGCACAAAAAAGCCCCGATAGCTAAAATGGTCATCAGGGCTTTCTTGCGCAAAATAGCGTCTAAACTGGCCACGGGTGCTTTTGCGCAAAAGCAAATATTTTGCGCAAAGGCACTTGCCACTCTTTTGGGGAAATAGGTAAAGTATTTCTGGAAAATCATGCCAGTCTAGACACAGCCCATGGCTATGTCTACACTGTGCAGATATGCAAATGAGCCCCATTTTTGCGGCAGGGGCTTTTGCACAAGAAGGAGCTGTCTATACTGCTCCTTGCACAAAAACCCCCTCTTGCACAGGAGCTGTTCTTCCTGAAAATAAGCGGCAGAATGGCTCCTGTGCAAAAGGGGTTTTTTGCGCAAGAAAGAGCAGTGTAGGCAGCTCCTTCTTGTGCAAAAGCCTCTTCCACAAAAATGGCAGCTCATTAGGTATGCAAATGAAGTGCAGGGATGAATATCATTGCAGCTCATTTGCATATCTTATGCAACAATAGTAGACATAGCTCCAGTCCTTGTATAGGTATTGTATGAGGTGGTCCCGTACCCAAATAAGGATTTTCAGGGCGGGCTGCAAAAGTACCTTCTAATTAACTACCAAGTGAATTTAATCTCAATCAATCACCTCCCTAGCCTCTGATTTCCTGGGTCTGCACAAATGTTGGAACACCCCCATCCACCCACCCACCACCAAGTGATCCTCTCAAGAGCTAATGGTCCCACCTGCCCCATGATGTTCATTCTTGAGCCCCCAATCATTGTCAATCCATGTGGGTTTCATACATGAGGGGGCATCCCCACATTAAATTAGTCCCCTTTCTGCAGGGGACCTATATGGATAAAAACAGTTTAATCTAGAAGTCAGTCTCAGTACCTACTGTACTTTCTCTCACTATGGGTATGTCTAGACTACATGCCTCTGAAAACAGAGGCATGTAGATTAGGCTACCCGGCATAGGAAAATGAAGCGGCAATTATTTAAATTGCTGCTTCATTTAAATGCCTGCCACTCTGAGCGGATCAGCTGTTGGTTGGCTAAGCGCAGTAGTCTGGATGCTCGGCGGTCGACATCAAAGGCATTTGTCAACCTCCTCGGTATGCCTCATGGGATGAGGTTTACCGGGGAGGTCGACAAATGCCTTTGATGTCAACCGTGGAGCATCCAGACTACTGCACTGAGCTGACCCGCTCAGCGTGGCAGCCTTTTAAATTTAAATGAAGCGGCGATTATTTAAATGGCTGCTTCATTTTCCTATGCCGGGTAGCCTAGTCTACATGCCTCTGTCATCAGATGGCCTATATGAAAGGATTTCAACCCTGCCAATAACTCAGAGCCAACCTCAAAGGCAAGGGCAGCAATCTCAGTCCAAACAGTTGACAGGCTCCATTAACTGCAGCATAAAGAAGAAAAAAAGTACAATGCCTGTGTAGATCTTCAGTGCTGAGATGGTATAATCCATGGGCTTTTGCTCCTTTGTGGATTCTCTTTTGATCCTAATTTGTATCTTCTTAATCAAATGCTTACAAGAATAAGGAAGGAAAAACCTCAATTACAACTTTTATTACAAAATGCACGGTTTCAGTACAGTGCTTGCCCTCATCTGGGACTAAGCTTATTGTGCAACATTCTATGACCATAACCATGTTGCATGGTCTCAGGTACATTTGTTAATATTTATGGACATCACAATTGCAAAGGTTTATTTCTCCTTAAGGGTAGGTCTACACATCAAACCCCGTTTTGTCACAAGCCGCCCATTATTTTGAAATATTTTTGAAATAATGGGCGTGCTATTTCAGCATCCCGATAACCCTCATTCCACGAGGATTAAGGGATGTCTCGAAATAGCACTTTATTTCAAAATTTGGTGCTGTGTAGATAGGCTATTTTGAAATTTGGTGCTATTTCAAAATAAACTTGAAATAAGTATGCAATTTACATAGCGCAAATTGGGTATCTTATATTGAGTTGAGTGCAGTGTAGACATAGCCTGTGGGACCTCTAGTCCTATAAGACTGTAGAGCAGAATTTAAGCTGTCACTCTTCGGAAAACTTTTAAGAAAAAGGCATTTTACAAATATTTTCTTGTCCATCTATTACTTTATTATAGCCCCTGCCGTCCTTAGGGCAGCTCCTTCAAACTTCTTGTGTTCCATGGGCCTTCGTAACACCAACCACAGGGAACAGCCCACTGTCACATGCCCCAAATCCCTTGTTTCGGCAATTACAATCTAGTAGGGTGCTCAGGCAGTCATACTACCACTAATGAGACTGCTGCTGCTTATCCACAGCAAAATTATACATCCATTGCAGCAAGCACTGCATTTCATTAGTCCCATCACCAAATGGCCTAGACAAGATTGTTAGGGAAGAAACTTTGCATTTCTCCACAACAGGCCAAAGGGAAAGGGGCCTGGTTCATAGAGGTGCTCAGCATCTGCAGAGCTACTGCCTTTCATGGGAACTGAGTATACTTGGATTAGCACTTCTGAAATATCAGACCACAGCTTTTTAGGTGCGTAATTATGGAATGAGGAACCTCACATGAGAACTCATTTTAAAATTTTGGCCAAAAGAAAATAGTAACATTCTGTAAAAAAGAGAGAGAGAGAGAATGCTATACAAACAGTCTACTTACAATTGCGGAGCTCAGCATCCCAAACAAACCATAAACAAATTGTAATGTCTAAGAAAAAAGTGAAGAAATATGCTTGTGTTCGCCATCATTGCAAAATGAAAACTAGCAGAGAGTTACTGCCTTTAGTGCATTTAAATCAATAGCAACCTTAAAAAGGACATGTTTGGCATAGTAAAAAAAAAAGTCCTAGCAGAACTGCAGTTGATCTGAAAACAAATGCTAATTCATAACTGGCAATTAATACGCTTAATATATCAGTTACTAAACTTACTCGGGGGAACAGAAAGACTCTTTTGCATAGTAATCCATTTTTCATTTGGGGAACATGAACAAAACACGTACAACCTTTCATGGCTGGCAGATCAGTAAGTGCCTATAGATACCTGTTAACACATTTGGTTTTGCTACTCAAAGAGGAATCAAACAGGAAGAACATATAGAAGACATCTACTGATCAGATGATTAAACCAAACAAAGTTCAGAGGGGTACAATTTGTTACACAGTTGCCCTGCTTCCTGAAGTGCATAGTTCAGCATTCCTTTCTGCAGTGGGAATTTTGATGTACTTTCAGGTAGTGAGAGATGGGGCTATTGGTACTATTCCATGAGATAGACTACATCTGCACAGCAGCAGGAAGATAAAATTCCCAGTATGGGTAGGCCTACATGTTCTAACTCTGCTTGCAGTAACAGCTAAAAGTAGCAGAATTGTTGTCAGACACTCAGGCTAGCCACCCACGTATGTGCCCAGCCTGGTGAGTGCAATGGACTGTACTTGAGCTGCTGTGGCCACACTACTACTGTTAGATTCTAGCATGAGCAGAGTTAGTACACGTATAGCTACCCAATCTGGAAATTACACCTCTAGCTGCTCTATAGGCATATACCCACTGTGTTTATAAGAACTGTATCACTGGAAAGACACTGTGTGCCTTTGTGAGAAATAATAAATTACTTACTGGTGATTTGTTAAAGCAACAGAGACTTCCAAAGATGATCAACATTGAGAACACGATCCAGGAGGGCACAGGTGCACGAATGATGTTCCACTGAGAACAACAAATACAATAGGCTGTCTTCAATTGCTATTAACCAAGACATCTGTGATTGTAAATGCTACCATGTTCCCCAAGGATGGTGATTAGTAAGGTTGAGTCAACTATATACAGTAGTGATAATGAAATTCTGAAGTTACCAAGGCTGGTTTAAGCTCCTGCCCATATCCTGGCCTTTGCTTAAACTAAATAAATCCCTGAAATATGTTTTATTGGTTTCTAAGTTACTGCACATCTTGATTTTAAATAGGTCCTTTACCTGGCCTCCAGCTCTTAATACGCACACATTGGCACTCACTAGTACCTGTGTGAGTGATTCTAGATGTGGATGATAGAATTCTAGATATGGATGATAGATGTGGATGATAGAATTTTCAAATGGAAAACACTTTGGCTACGTCTATACTGGCATGATTTTCCTCAAATGCTTTTAATGGAAAAGTTTTTCCATTAAAAGCATTTGTGGAAGAGAGCGTCTAGATTGGCACGGATGCTTTTGCGCAAAAGCACTTTTTGCAGAAAAGCGTCCGTGCCAATCTAGACGCGGTTTTGTGCAAGAAAACCCCGATCGCCATTTTCGCCATCGGGACTTTTTTGCGCAAAACGGTTCTCAGTTGTCTACACTGGCCCTCTTGCACAAAAGCATTTGCGCAGGAGGGCTTTTTCCCGAACGGAAGAGTCATTGTAATTGTGGAAGAACACTGACAATCTTACATTAGATCATCAGTGTTCCTGTGCAAATTCAAAGTGGCCAGTGTAGACAGCTGGCAAGTTTTTCCGCAAAAGCGGCTGCTTTTGTGGAAAAACTTGTCAGTCTAGACGCAGCCTTTGAAATAAATGGGCAGCAGGATGGCATGGCTGCAGCACCCAAAGGCCCAGTTTAGTTGGGTTTTGCAAGCAATCACCATTTGCTGAGATTAGAGCAGCAAAATGTGTGGGTAAATAAATGTGTATATTGTGGGAGGATAGGACAGGGTAGGTTAATTAGACCCACATGTTTTAGGTCAGTCAAATACTTTGATTTTTTTTAATATGAATTTCTCTAGGGCCAAAAACAAAATCAGTATTTGAGGTAAGCTACTGAGTAAAAGAATACACCACCAGAACTCTACATGACAAACTTTTAAGTAGATGCAGTTTTGTTGGTAAATTCATGCGAATACTGACTTTTCAAAGTGTACTTTTGCAAAATATTTCATTAGATGATATTTACCTTGGACTTCAGAACAAACCAATACAGCACCAAAGTCACAGATGCTGTTATTCCTCCAACCTGCATTAATGTCGTGGCAGCAAAGAAGCTAAAATCCAAGAATACCACATATTATTTCAATTAAAGGCACAAAGAGGATCTATTACAATTAAAGAAAATTCTTAAAGACTTACGATGTAATCGCTCCAAGCAGCAGGCTTTCAGCTAGGATCTAAAAAAATCCAAAACAGAGAGAGCGAACACTTTCGTTAGTAAAATAATGCATATTTTTTACTTCAGCTCCTTATATTAATAGGATGAAATACTGAAAGAAATGGTCAGGATGGTGATGGGTAAAAAAAACACAGCATATAGAAAATCCCTAAGGAAATCAGCTCCCGATCCATTCTCTTTCATTAAAGTGTTATTATTTGTTTGTTAACCTGTTTGGACAATTCCACAGTCAGCCTTGATGCTTACATCATAATAAAGTGAAAGAGGAATAATTAATAAGTCTGCAGGCCATTTTCTGACAGGCACACATGTAAAGTGACCATATATCCCATTTTATCTGGGACAGGCTCTTTTTTAAGTCAACTTTTGGGGCAAAACTGGGCATTTGCCTTTTTGCTGTTGCCAACTGATCATCAGTTGGCAAAAGCAAACTGGACAAATGCAGTTTTGCCAAAAAATGTGGCCCCGGTGGGGTGCAAAGGAATGTGTGGGAGGACGGGTGAGAAGCAACACCACCCTCATATGGGAGGAAGAGCTCAGGAGATCAGTCTATGCTGGCAGGCATCAGGGTGGTAGAGGGTTCTTAGACAGGGCTGGTGCACAGGGAGAAGAAGGCGGCCTCAGATTGGCCCTGTGTGGGCAGATGCCGGGCTTGAGGGGCAGGGGAGAGTCGGACTGGCTGCTAGTATGGGAGGGGTAGGAAAACCTCAGGCTGGAGGGGGGATTGAGGACCATCACTGTGGGATATCCTATTTTTCCTTTGGAACCTTGATTACCCTACATATTTGAGGAAAATAATGGCTACAAATTTGAATTTCAAAGTTTAGGGAAATGTAGGGTTCTGGACCTCCAAAAAGGACACAGGAACGAATACTCAAGACACAAGAAGACACAAAAAAGAAGGCACAAGAAGGAATGCTCTAGAGACAAAAACTTGGGAGGGAGGAGGATACAATTAAATGATCTGACCATCATGATAGCTTTCATCCTTTCTTCTCTTCAGCTTTCCTGGATGCCAGGCAAGAGATGGATTTATTCCATCATGTGATTAAAGGATACACTACAAAATAGGTAGTGAGCACTGCAGAGGAGGAGCAAATCAGACTGTCCTTTGTAAAGCAGGGACTAGACATCTAAATAAGAGCTAAGATTATTTTTTTTATTGTTATACAGACTCTCCTCCAATCTTTCAGTTCTACCTCCTCCACAGACACAATGTCTAGACTACATCCCTCTTTCAAAAGAGGGATGTAAATTAGACAGATCGAAATTGCAAATAAAGCCGAGATTTGAATTTCCTGTGCTTCATTTGCATAATGGCGACCGCATGTTCTTTTGAAAATGGGCATTTTGAAAGTGAAACCACCAGGAGCGGCCTGAAACTGGCTGCGGCAGCTGGCACCTTAGGTGGCACCCCCGTCTGCTCGGCCGTCAATGACCGTGATGTCATCATCGGGCACCCAGGCCGGTGGCGCTCTAGGCAACTGTCTAGTTTGCCTAGGCTCACAGGCCGCCCCTGGAAACCGCTATCTAGATGAGGTTTTTTCAAGAAAAAAAACCCTGAGGCGTACAGGATCTTTCGAAAAAGGGTCGTTGTTTTTTTTAAAGAACCACTTCTAGCCAGCAGTTTCACTTTTGAAATACCCATTTTCGAAAGAACGTGTGGCCACCATTATGCAAATGAAGCACGAAAAATTCAAATCCTGGCTTCATTTGCAATTTCAATTTGTCTTATTTACATCCCTCTTTCAAAAGAGGGATGTAGTCTAGACATTGTGTCCATGGAGGAGGTGGACATAGCCAATGTGTCCTTGTTATATTTACAGGAATTCCATGTTGTTCAGCAGTTTGCATCCTGCAGAATAGATGGTGCTGTCCGGGTCCAGGATTGGAGCAGTCATTTTTTGGTGCAGAGAAATTTTCACATTTACCTATTAGCGTGTCTGAACAAGACCCATTGAGTTCCTTAAAATACATTAAAGAAAATGATAGGGAAAGCCATTGGCAGTGGGTATTAGAGGCAGGGGGTGCTGGGTCTCCCCAAACAGTCTGGTGCCACCCCACCCCAAAGCCAGCTTCCTCCTAACATTTCCTTCCAATTCTTTTGGTGCAGAGAAATTTTCACATTTACCTATTAGCGTGTCTGAACAAGACCCATTGAGTTCCTTAAAATACATTAAAGAAAATGATAGGGAAAGCCATTGGCAGTGGGTATTAGAGGCAGGGGGTGCTGGGTCTCCCCAAACAGTCTGGTGCCACCCCACCCCAAAGCCAGCTTCCTCCTAACATTTCCTTCCAATTCTCTCAACCTGCACTGCCTAGCACACTGGGGTTGGCAGGGTGCTGCAACCATGCCATCTGGTTGCCCAGTGCACCGGGGCTGGGGGTGCTGGACCTATGCTTCCTGGAGCACCAGGGCTGGGAGTGCTGCAGCCACTCTGCCCTGCACCTCAGAGAACTGGAACTGGCACCTGCCTCTCCAGCCACTTCGGTCTGGGGCCAGGGTAAGGGGTGCTGAGCTCCTGCAGGAAGATGGGGGACAGAAGCAGAGGGGAGAGGGAGAGGTGAGCAGAAGAGGAGGGAAGGGCTGGGGGCTAGTCTCCCCCAAAAGCCATGTCACCAGGAGCCCATCGGGAAAACAAAGACTTCAACAATATACTTACAAGCATCAATGGTAAAATTAAGTTCAGTGGGAATTTTTTACAGTTGTTCTCACAGCAGGCAATTATTAATGGTAGAGCAAAATTTGCTGGACTAAAAAAGTAAAAAAATGTCACTAATTAATATTTCTGCTAAATATAGTGATGACAATTGTTACTATTTCTGTTATTTAAAAAATAGCATAAAAGTTATTCAGATGTAAAATTTGTATCAGAAAACGATTATCAGAGAGGTAGCTGTTTTAGATCTGTCTATACTTACTGAGTTTGATTTAGCAGGTCTAGCTGAGACCTAAATTGAACACTGAGGGTCCCTCCCTCCCCCCCGCCATCAACTATGGTACTCCTTAGAGTCTCAGTCACTTTCTCCATCGACCTCCCGCTATGGGGATTCCCCAGAAAAATCAAATGTAAGGTACATCAACCCCAGCTACGCTCTGGTCCCTGACCACAGGATTGACCTGTTCTTAGAATATTATCATATGTTTGTAAGTACAGTACTTTAAATGACTTGCATAGTTTGCATCTGATTTGCCTGAGCTGAGGTGTCATTCAATCTACAGATTTGTGCAGAAATACAGACCCTTGCAAAAATGTTGCTGGGACCAACTTTTTCAAAACAGTAGCTTTTATTTATGTCTATACACTTTTTGATCAGCAACAACTGTAAGTACCCAGGTGATATGTTTTACACGTGTTAACTGTATCACTTGTGTCTTGCCCTTTTCTGTTTTCTCCCTCTTACATTTCTTTTAATATCCGCTCACCTTCCCCCTGCCACCTGCTATTTGTGTGTGTGTGTATGTACACTCCACACAGGACTATTTCCTATTTCTACCTCCTCACCAAGGGTATCTCTGCTTGGCAGCTGGTAGACAACCTTGTGCTAATGGGGGCTTGAGCTAGAGTACTATAAATAGCTGTGTGGAAGTTGCTTCCACAGAGACTTGGCTACCATCCAAGCTCAAGCCCACATGAGCCTCTCTCCCCAGGCAGCCCTCTTCTGGAGACTTCATTTCAGAGCTATTGTGTTGGGAGCAGCAGAACAATGTTGATGAATATATTGGCCAGAGGATCTCCACATAAAGCCAGTGTAGCTGCCTACCTTTTGAGTTCCAATATGGTAGGTGAGCCCACAAAGCTGGTGCTACATGGCATACGTGTGCCTACACACCAGCTACTGACAGACTCCCTAGTGTGGCTGAGTGCACTGGCCTAGGCGAAGGTGAGGCAAAGCAGCCCAAGCTCATGTCTGTCCCACTGAATTTGCAAGCTCATGCGTGGCTTTAGGTGGAGTCTCTCATGGGGAGGCATTATTCATCCAGCCCTACAGAATATGGCCTGGCTAGAACATTACATCTAATCTGCTGCTGTGCCAAGCTAGTATATACAGCCCCAGTCCTTACATTGGTAAAGCGCAATGAACAATCATCGCTAAATGAAACAATGACATCAGGAACCTAAAACATGTACACTATGGCATAAGAAGCATATTGGTGTGCATTTCTATTCACTAGACTCACATGGAAACCTAGAAGTGAGCCTTCCATAAAGGAGAGGGTGGGAGGAAAATGGGAAGGGAGATTAAAAAAACAGGGGAAAAAGTGATCAGTTCCTTCTCCTTTTGCTATCAAGAGACCTGACAACAGCACTGGTCACACCCAACCTGGGAAGGGATACCTGTTTGCATTGTTAGTAATCTCACAGATCATGATATTTAATGAAACACAGTGGCTTGGTGAGTGATTTCTGGTTACTTACAGAAATGTAATCCAAAATGACATGTTCTTCTGCTGACATCCTTGAAACACATTCCTAGTAAAAGAAAAAATGGTTGCCACAAAATCACATGGCTTTGCAAATTACACTGGGCCAGCTTCCATTCTCAGGATATTTGTGCCTCACCATTGATCTAAACCTAGGAGTTTAATTGAGTGGAACTGGCCCTTTATTTGTATCTAACATTGCTGTCCTCATAGAACCACAGAATCATAGAGCTGGAAGAGACCTCAGGAGGTCATCAAGTCCAGCCGCCTGCCCAAGGCAGGACCAATCCCTACTAAATCAACCCAGCCAGGGGTTTGTCAAGCTGAGACTTAAAAACTTCTAGAGATGGAGATTCCACCAACTCCCTAGGTAACCCATTCCAGTGCGTCACCACCCTCCTAGTGAAATAAGTTTTTCCTAATATCCAACCTAGACCTCCCACACTGTAACTTGAGACCATTGTGCCTTGTTCTGCCATCTGTCACTACTGTGAACAGCCTTTCTCCATCCTCTTTGGGACCTCCTCACGTGATCCTGATCACACACATGGCTTAAATTTACAGGAGGCGCTGTCCATACCAACAATGCACAGGAGACAAGGCAAAAAGCAAAGAATTTAAATAGCAAAATGGAGTTATAGAGCAGCGACAGACATGCATGGTAAAAGTTCATACTTATGCCAGATCCTGTCCCCATTCTCCATGGAAGGTCCCAGATACAACAGACCTGCCATGGTCCTTCTCTGTAGTAAATCACATATTAGGGAAGAACTAGACAAGGGGATGTTGTGTTCCCTAACAACAGAAACTTGTGTGTTGTGGCTATGCAGAAGAGGCAAGTTAGGGATGGACTTGGGAATGACCAGTGGGTCTTCAGAACTGGTTGGACACCGCAGACTGAGATAATCATACAAAACAATGCTGTCTATCAAGCAGCATGTTCAAAGCCACTGTGGGACATAGCAGCTGTCACATGCTCTTTCTTGGCCCACTTTGCCTTAACATTCAACTGCCCCTTCAGCCTCAGCTCTCCCTGTTAACTCCTTGCTCTTTTTTATCTACTTTTTGGCCACAAAGTTACCTTCGCTCTCAGCCAATGTGCTTCAGAGACAAATTTATATTTTCAGAGGGTTTCATAGGGTATGTCTACTCTACCACCCTAGTTCGAACTAGGGTGGTAATGTAGTCAACCAGAGTTGCAAATGAAGCCCGGGATTTGAATTTCCCGGGCTTCATTTGCATGTTGCCGGGCGCCGCCATTTTTAAATGTCTGCTAGTTCGGACTCCGTGCCCCGCGGCTACACGCGGCACGAACTAGGTAGTTCAGACTAGGCTTCCTATTCCGAACTACCATTACTAGCATTCCACGAGGAGTAACGGTAGTTCAGAATAGGAAGCCTAGTCCGAACTACCTAGTTCATGCCGCGTGTAGCCGCAGGGCACGGAGTCCGAACTAGCAGACATTTAAAAATGGCGGCGCCCGGCAACATGCAAATGAAGCCCGGGATTCAAATCCCGGGCTTCATTTGCAACTCTGGTTGACTACATTACCACCCTAGTTTGAACTAGGGTGGTAGTGTAGACATACCCCCAGAGTTTAAAGCAAGAAGAGACCAGAAGATCTTGTAGACAGAGCTGAATATGACAGGACATTCCTTTTCAGCCAGACACCCAGCATCAAGCCCAAAGACTAAAAATATTTTAGTGAGACTAAAACTATCAGTCCTAAAAAGACTAAACTATGTGCCACAGGGAGACAGCAGGAGAGATTAACATGCCACCAATGTCCAATGCCTCTGCAAAGAGAGGGAATTGATTACACGAGGTACAATATGGCCAGATGTTCCCAGCAGTCAAACCATATCCCAGGCTGCATAGGAAAGCAAATACTTCCCAAAATCCTAGCCAGTTTGACTTGGGGAAAATTCCTTCCTAGCCCCAAGCTAGTAATCAATATGAGCCTGTACATGTGAGTAAGCTTATTGGTTGGACCACTCTGGTCTAGCCCCTCAGGACCAGATCAGTTCCAAAAGAGAGAATTTACTGGACCAGAGGAAGTCCCCTGCTACCAGCTCCCCAACCCCAGCAGCCTGGAATGCCCCAGCCCCACGATTGGGGCTGCCATGTCTCCAGCTCTGCTACTGTAGGGCTGTCATGGCCCCTGCTGTGGTACTGGGACTCCAGCACCAGTCCTAGCTCCAACCCCAGCCTTAGCCCTGCTGGGTTCTAAGCCACCAGTCCTCTTTTCCTTGGGGTTCCCAGTCAGGAGGAGCATCTGTGGTCTTGCCAAATCATGGATGCTGCTGGATGAAGGAATCCTGGTTTTGGGAGGTTCAACCTGTACCAGCCAGGCTTCTAGAGAGAGGATTCTGTTCCACCTCAGAGTACCAGTTCTCTCCATTCCCAGTTGTGGCCAGCCTTTGATGCTTTGGAGGAAGGTGGGGGATACTCTTCCAGAATATATCTAGTCCACTGTGCATCAAAAGAGATCATCTTGCCTGACTCCCACAGGCAACCCTGAAGTCCTAAAGCATCAGATTTGATTATAGCCATAATCTTAATTAGGGATGTAAAATCCTGTGTAACAGATGTTAAAGAGCAATTATTTGGCTAATCATGTAGTCGATACAATTGGTCCTTTTCAAGTTCATATTATATGTATGGCTAGATGGTACCATATGTGTATTGCACAATATAATTGTAAACAAAGCATAATTATTGGTACCTAGAAAACAGCTAAATTTCAGGTCTCTAATTAGTTATTAATTGAATGAGATTCAGCACAGGGATGTTAAACAGTAAACCAGCCCTTCTCAGGGAACTCAACCAGTGGTCAGCTGCTGTGGCTGCACCAACAGTGGGAACAGTGGGGCAGGTAATGGGACATCGCAGCCACACTGGGACCCCACAGCCATGGCTGCAGTGGGGCCTGGGAGTGTGTCTGGCAATATGCCCTAAGTTAAAATGATTAACTGGTTAAGCACTAGCATTTAAATAGGAACCACATTGATGTCCCTGTCATAAA